GCGGCACGCGGGCGCCCGGAGGGGGCGGTGCCGACAGCTCCGCATGGGCGGGGGCTGGGCTGGGTTCCGGGGGAGCCGCGCGCCGCGGAGGCGGGGCCTGGGCAGAGGAGGGTGGGCGGGGGAGCCACGCCGGGAGTCATTGTGAGGAGCACAGTAGGCTGTTTGAGTGGCACTACTAGCCGGCCTGAACGGAGGGCAAGGTAGGCTTGGTGTGGGAAGTAGTCTGGGAAGTACCTTCCCGGCGGGTGTTCGGAATAGTTCTCCACAGATGAGGCAACTCGAGCTTCAAGGCGTCATGCGCTTAGTTTCAGCCAGAAGTTCTTGATGGAAACAACCGGGGTTTACTATCTTTTCAATTCTCTTCAGCTACCACGTCCTAGGATCTCTTTAATGTTTTTTCTCATCTTGACTGATATGCATGATAAAGAACAGCAAAGAAAATGGTTGCTTAAATCAGTTTTTAAAACATTTTAAGGTGGCATACCCAAAGCCAGGCTGAGTGCCCGGTATGAAGAACACAGCTTTGATCCTAGTCCCCACCCAGGACGCAGAGACCTGTTTATTCCGGAGTTCCAAACCACACCTTCAACTATCTGTGAATTCAAGGCCTGCTTGTTCCACATAATGAGTTAAAAATCATGATCATGTCTGTTTTCCAAGTGCTGGGCTTACTGGCCTCCACCACCAGACTAGGTTCTTTTACACATACATTAAGCAGAAAATGTCCACCTCGTAACAAGTACTCTTCCTAAGAATGAGTCATAAAGAAACATCAGCTAATCAGTGTCGTGAAACGACACCCAGCCTTGCTAAGACAAGACCTCAAAAAACAAACAAGATGTTTGTAGAACATTTCCTCCCTGGAGAACTTTCCTTGATTGTAGAGAGGGCAACACATTTTTTTTTTCCTCCTTCCATGTATGCTTTTGTTTGCAAACTCTGGAAGACTAGTAGTCAGGAAGCCTAACTAGTAGTTCATGCCTGTGATTGCCAGCAATTGGGAGACCAAAGCGGAATGATTGTCATGAGTTCAAAACCAACCTTCTGATTTAAAATAATAATAACAACAATAATAATAAAGATATCCTTTTTTTACAAACCCCCCAAAAACTGTTCCTCTACATGGAGATATTTAATAAAAGTTAAAATATTTATACGACCTAAGAGAAACCTGAGTACTGAATGAAAAATAGATAGATAGATAGATAGATAGATAGATAGATAGATAGATGGACGTGACTGCTCCTAGGTTTGGTGGAAGAAAAAGTTAATTGTGGATAAAAAGGGAGAGCATAGCCAGAGCATCTGGGAGAGGCCAGAGTGAACCTGATCCTGAGCCACAGGAGAGGAAGGGAGGGGAGAGGAGAAAGACCAGAAGGCAGGTAACTGAAATGGCTGGGTTATACAGGGAAGAGCCTCAGGGGGAAAGTGTAGCCCCTGGGCTGGAGAGTTCATAATCTGGACAAAGGGCAGATTATGAATGGAACAGGGACTGAGGGATGCCGGGAGAACCTGGAGGCCAAGTCTGCTTTTGATATATTAAATAAGCTCCTCTGTCTTCTGTCCCAGTGTTTGAGACGGAACCAGTTTAACAAGTACCATGCATATCTCTTGAATCCTAACTTTCTGTGTGCTATTAGCTTTATTGCCTTGAGAATGCAGTCATGGGCCGGGTAGTAGTGGCACACACCTTTAATCCCAGCACTTGGGAGGCAGAGGCAGAGGCAGATGGATTTCTGAGTTTAAGGCTAGCCTAGTCTACTGAGTGAGTTCCAGGACAGCCAGGGCTATACAGAGAAACCCTGTCTCAAAAAAACAGAGAGAGAGAGGGGTGGGGGAAGGGAGGGAGGGAGGGAGGGAGGGAGGGAGGGAGGGAGGGAGAGAATGCAGTCATGGGATAGTATTTAGCCAACTGGTTTGGGGGGATTGGAGTAGTTACATTAGTTACTCTAAACTACATACATGAGAGATCTGCACATTTATTCCAGTCTACTGGATGTCAAAATGGTATCCTAAAGCCTATGAAAACACATTAATAACTTTAAGATGGAATGTTTACACCATGTAGCTGTGGGTTCCATTTAATAATATATGGCTGAAAAAGACATGCATTGCTAGCATCTTTTGTACAGGATTGGAGCAACCCAACAGATAAGGGTGATTGTCCCTTCCTTAATATCCTGCCCCCAACACAATCGCAAAACCCACCTGAGCCTCAGCATTTTCTCTGTATATTAGATGTCACTATTAAACACTTGCCTGGTTTTTGCAATCATTTGTTAAGGTGGTAATGGATAGGGCTGGAAGAGTTTTCAGTTCTCAGGATACCTAGGATCTCCCTTCTCCTGAGAATCAATTAGGGGTGGGGAATGTGGGATGAATATGTTTTTTCCCCTTCAGCCATATGTGGTTGTTTGTAAACTCTGCAAACTGCTTTACTGCTTTGGGGTGAAAGTCATTTATTTTGTCCCATAACAATGGATTGAAATATAGATTTAAACTGGATGTTATTTCAGTCATCTTTGGTTGGCTGGTTTTGAGACTATGTAGTCCAAACTGGTCTGGAACTTGCAGGCCTATAGTTGCAGCCGCTCAAGAACTAGGTAGGATTACAGGCATGAGTCACTGGATTCTGTTTATGATTTTATATAAGCTGTGAGTGAAAGGGATGCAATTTGGGGAATAAAAACCTCCACAAATTTACTGTTAATTTTAAATTATGACTGGAAAAAGTAAGAGGGAAAAATACAAGAGGAAAATTGTGAAATTAGAGTCTACCAAAATCTCACAATACAGACATCTAAAAAATGAAGTTCATGTCTTTCAAAACTTACTTTTTATAATTAATATGTAATAATATAATCTGTTCATAACATATATTCTCTAATGAACCCTTCCTGATGTTTAACACCCTAGTCTCATTTTCATTCAAGGCTTTACGCAACTGACTAAATAACCAATGGCCATTTATTCTTCTGTATTTAACCACCTATGGCCATGAGAAACTAGCCAGATAAGTACTTCAGGTGAATCTCTGATCTGAATCACTTGCATAATTTAAATGACTTCATGTAGTTTTACTTAAACTATTTCAAGAAAAGTAGCACAATGAACCAGTGCTCTTAACCGTGAGCCATCTCTCCAGCCCCTACACACAGGTTTTAAATCACTTTGTGCTGGTTTTTGTCAACTTGACAAACTATATAGGGTCACTTGGGAAGATGGAACAATTGAGTATGTGTTTCAGACTGGCCTGTGGCCACATCTTTAGGGTATTTTGATTGCTAACTGATGTAGGAGGAGGGACAAGGCCCCCTATAGGCAGTACCATCCTTAGGCAGGTGATTGGTAGGAAAAGCAGCTGAGCAAATCAGGAGCAAGCTACTAATCTGTGTTCTACTGGATCTTTGCTTCAGTTCCTGCCTCTAGATTCCAGCTTTAGCCACTGCCTTTATTTCCCTCAGTGGTGAGCCTGGAAGTGTAATTTCCTCCCAAGTCACATTGGGTAAGGAAGTTGATCACATCAACAGAAAACAAATGAGGACAAAATAAACTAGAAATTTTATCTAGAACCAGTAACTACATAAAACTAGAAATAAGTGAGACAACCCTACCACAGGAAGACAAGATTAGTCTAATCCCACTCCCACAAAATCCTAACCTCCCCTCAAAAATATTATTTTGCAACCAGTATTCTCATAGGCAAGAGCACAAGAATATGATTGTCCTAATGTCTGGTAAGGTACAACTTTGGATCTTACAAAAATATCAGAAAGCTTTATTGCTAAAAACCTTTGACCAAAGTTTTATTTAATAAGTGTTATACAGAGATTTCTGTACAGAAATATTTACCATAGGCACCATACTAGAAACACAAAAACTCAAATTTATCTTTGAATGGGTAAAGTATATGTCTAGTTAGTAAAAACATGCTGCAGTAGTGGAAAAATACACAATGTTCAGTGAAAAGGTGTGGCAAAATTTAACATACATATATAATACACGTACATGTATATAAAACATCTGTGTTCGTGCATCTCACCAGCCAGCCAGCCAGCCCCGTCATCACTTCATCAGGGTGCTGCTTTCCCTGTTGTTACTCCGCTCTAGAATCCGAAGTTGTCCAAGATAAACATAAATGCTTACAAAAAGGTAGGAGTTGTTTTTCAAAACCAAAGAATTAAATGCACTGGTGGTAGAGTGACTGAAATGATCAGATGTCAAAATAACTGTTATTCTCCTGAGGTCATTGTTGTCTCCAAGGCTTACTGCCTCAGTCTAACCGAGGTCTAGTCCTTGAAGCTTCTAGTCTCTGTACAATCTAATCTAGGCCTAGAATGCTTTCAGCCTCAAGATACTGAATAAGCTCACCCTTTCTAGTTCTTTCTGATCTCTTGCAAGCTGATTCAACTCAGGTATTCTGGCTAAAACTCCTTTCCAAGCTGATACAATCAAACTTCTTTCTTGGCCTCTTTTTGCTGTGCTTGGCCATAACTCTGGCTATCTGTTCTAATATTCTGGCTCATTCTTTCTCCAACATGTCTCTGTGCAACTGTCCAGTAAAACTGCCTTCTCTGCTGCTCTTTGAGCTTTTCTCCTGAGATGGACATACCCTATTCTCTTCAATCTTTTACTGATTTATCACTGTCTGCCACTTAATCATCTATCAATTTCAAACATTGGTGTTCGTTCTACAAACTAATTTTACCTTGTTTGGGATTAATGGCGTGTACTAAGGGCATGTCTGTATTCCAGCCAGAGGGATTAAAGGTGTGTCCTAAGGCTGAGCCAACTAGAAACAGTTTTTTTTTCAGTAAACACCACAATTTGGGGGTTCAGTGTTATCAAATATTCTGTATCAGAAGTCGACTTCCCAAGGCTTCATGAATTAGTGACCTGACCTCAGCAGAGAAAGCTCAGTGAAATGACCTCCACCTTGCCATCCAGTCTCTAACATCTTTGTAAGTAATTACAGACCCAATTAGTCTGTTTGAATTTCAGCTTAACTAAACCAAATTCTAAGCAATGGGGCAAGCCAACTGTTAAGTGTGCTAAAGATTCTATACTAAGTGAGGCTCTGAAAAGAATAAAGTTGCTGGGGAGTTCTGAAGATGCTTTATTTAGAAAAAGATCAACACTGACTTAAAGATTTTAATTTTTTAAAATGGCAACCTAATTAGACATAGCTAGTTCGGTATACTAAAAGTATTTACACATGGAATACAAAATAAATACACAGTAACTAAAAGAGATAGTTATCCACTGATTCATTTTGCACTCCCTCTGCTCATCTTCTGTTGCAATTTCCGATGCCTTTTGTAAATCCTTCTCTTCCTTGCTTTCAGATCTACTTTTGGCTCCGGTTTCACCCACTGTATTTCTATTGGTTTCTCCTCTGCTGGTGTAACAAACACATCTGCAGTGGGATCATGTGGAAGAATAGTCTTTGGTTCTTTCTTTCTCAATTTCTGGACATCTTTGACTTGCTGTCTCTCTCTGTACTTTGCAGCTGTGATGGACCTTATGACACGCCGATGCTGGACACAACAAAGAGTAGATGCTTTTGAATTAAGGCATTCATGTATGTATCTTCACCAAAATAATTTTTAAAAAGCAATTTGCAGATTACATGTGCAGAAAAACAAACTCAGTCATAGGAGTGGTAGAGCAGTGACTACAGTATCACAGACTGAAACAAAACAGAACCAAAACCCCTGGCTTACCATGTTTGGAGACTGGTAATGAGGATTTTCATATAAGGTTGGTCCTCCAAAGCTTCCCTGAAAAATCTTTATGAGATTTAAGACAAAACGGGGTCCTATTTCCACTAGAGCAGCATCTTCTTCTATAATCTTCAACAAAAAAGAAACATTCCTGTGGTTTGGGTATATTGCCAAAAGGTAAACCAGCCACAACTTCACTACGAGTATGACACTACAAGTGTGTTCTAAGAATTGGTAAGACAAGTATGGCACACTTTGAATCTCAGCACTGAGGCAAAGCAGGTGGATTTATGCCTTGTCTACATAATGAGTTCCTGGCCACTCCGAGCTATATAAAGGGACCCTGTCTCAAATAATACAAAACAAAGCACAAAATCAGAATTGATCATCTTCAAAGTAAGATAGTAAGAACCTGGAAAGTGGTAAATCATGATACTTCCTAAAATCTGTTACTAGCTCAAGGAAGTTATACAATAACCATGATTTTCTTTCTTGGTGTTCTTGTGTGCATGGGTTTACATGCTTACTGGTGCATGTGTGCATGTGTGAAGGCTAGACAGCAACTACAGGTGTTGTTCTTCAGGAGCTGCCCACATGTCGCTTTGTTTATATCCATTTATATTGTATATGGGTGTGTGTGTGCTTTGGCACACATATGCAGAAGCCAGAGGACACCTTGCAGGAGTCAGTTCTCTCCTTCTACCTACCACGTGTGTCCTAGGAACCAAACTCAGGTTGCCAGGCTCCATTTACCACCTGAGCCATCTCACACCCCACTCTGCTTTGTGAGATGGCCTCTCACTGGTAGCTGGAACTTGCAGATTAAACTTCGTTGGCCAGCCAATAAGCCACACACATCTACCTGTCTCTACCTCTCCAGATCTAGGATTAAAACCACGTGCACTTATGCCTCGGGTACTCATGCTCACACACAAGTACTTTACCCCTCAATGATTTTTTTAAACTGTGAAATCTGAATTTGTTTCCTATCTTAAGTCTAACAAACACTAACATTTTTTCATCTGTCTGTTAAGACAGGGTCTCTCTACATAGCCCTGGCTGTTCTGGAACTCACCTGTCTCTGCCTCCCCACTTACTGACATTCTCAATAGATCTACTCTTCTAAGTCTAAGTCAGGAGATTCAACAGAGACTAAGAAATCTTCTATAAAATATGCAGACAGGAGCCCATGTCCATCACCTGCAGCTGGATGAAATCTTGTCCTTGCTGTTCTCCACTTTTCTGTACATTCTGACAAATCCCTGCTGAGAGATTTCTAGAAGCCTCACTTTCCCTGAGTCTCATGACTCACCTAAAAGTTGTTACTATAGCAATTATGTTTTCCTAAGCCTTAACAGCCGCCTGCCCTCTACCTGTTCTAGTCTAACCTTTCAGGAAGAGAAACAATGAACTGTCCTTTACAGGACGCAGGAGAGGCTGGGACCATCAGCACAACGGCCTCGTCTATGTTCTCTCTGTAAATGAGACTAGCAGCTTGTGACAAATGTCGTGTACCACATCAGCTGACAACCAGAGAACGAAGCAAGGAGAGATCACTTCAGGCATGTGGCAGCAAGCGTTTGCCACAAATATCTGAAGGAGAAGTGGAGCTACTTAAAAGAATATACATTTGCACTGTCAGCAGTGCTACATATCCCAAAATATTGAAAACATGAAAAATAAAGTAAAGCCAACCTGGAAGTTCCGAAACCATATCCTGTTATCCAGAATAGTGAACGTAAACACGTGGTCCACAAAGGGCTGACTCTTGGGATGGTACCGTGGTGTACTAAAAATCTTGTTAAAAAAAAAAAAAAAAGTCTGTTAGTTTTACATTCTAAGACACAGCATGTGCTTTGATGTCTAAGTTAATAAGCATGTTCAAAGGAAGACATCTGTCTATTATATATTCCTAAAACTACTTTCTAAGAAAGATATTTACCTGAATTAAGATTTCTTTTAACAAAGCATAATGTGGCGAGTCATCAAAAGCCTATAAATAAAAATATGAACACATTAAAATCAAGAGTATCTTCTTTAAAACTTCTTTTTTGTTTTTTGTTTTATTTATTTATTTTATTTATGAGTACACTGTCGCTGTCTTCAGACACACCAGAATAGGGCATCCAATCTCATTACGGATGGTTGTGAGCCACCATGTGGTTGCTGGGATTTGAACTCAGGACCTTTGGAAGAGCAGTCAGTGCTCTTAACCGCTGAGCCATCTCTCCAGCCCCAAAATTTCTTTTTATTAGCTAAATATATATAAAGAAAATCAACCATTTAGAATAAGAAAATTAAGACCACACACTAAATGAGAAACTTACAGGGTCAAAAGATAAAAGGGGCCGAGAACCTTTCAAACAATTTCCAGTCATCTTTAGTTCAGCCAGGGTATGAACTAAAAAAAAAAAAAGAAAAAAATTGTAATGAAAAAGTTAAAAATTTTGACACAATTATCCCTAAATATTTCTAAAATGTTCACTAAGAAATTTTAAGACAAACTTACTATTTTGAACCAGGAACTTGGCAGATGGCCCATGAGGTGAATTTGAAAGCCTGAAATATATGAAAGAAGCTTTTCAACAGATCAGAATGTACCATGCAGTGACTGTCATTCATACCAGCAGATTATAAAACAGCATGCCTATAGTATACGACAGGACGTCTATAGGATAAGATACAAATATCTATAATGTAAGACAGCCCATGTCTACAATATTCATGTTAAATGTTCTTTAGGGGCTTCAAATACTGCACAATCAAATGAGGACACTCTATTCCTCCTTTTACATAAAAATTACATCCTGCTATAAAAGATTTACTTAATTCTATCAATATATTCTCTTACCACATATAGAGATCCTGTTTTTTCTTAGCTTCAAAGTAGATGCATTTGTTGCAATTTTTCATTTCACAGACCTAAAAAAAAAAAAAAGCAATGATAATATAACAAAAACTAAAGTAGTAAGTAACCAGATGCCTTTAAAAACAACCTGTGTATATTTATTCACAGAATTTTATTTCCTCTGTGGCATTCTACTCAAGGTAAACTTGATGTTCTATCCCTCTTTGGAAGAAGGATCCACTCAAATCTCTTTTGTCTATGGTATTATATATTTTCTTTTTTACTGACCAAGTACCATGCAGCCTAAGCTGCCCTTATCCTGATAAACTGCCACCTCCTGCGTGTTGCATTACAGGCTCACTAGACTAACATTTTAGAGTAACTGGTGTTCTTCTGTTACTGAAGATCTCTTCTGACGATAGTCTCATGCACAAATTATAATGACTGAAAATAACACTAGAAAATATGCAAAACTAGAACTGTATCAGGAAATACAGCTCTAAGAAAACCAAAGAGGGCATCTGATTACATTACAGATAAGTTGTGAGCCACCATGTGGTTGCTGGGAATTGAACTCAGGACCTCTGGAAGAACAGCCAATTCTCTTCACCGCTGAGCCATCTCTTCAGTCCTAATATCCTTTATTTCAATCAGCAGCTTATTGGGTTTTCAATTGTATAACATTTAAATTTTTATTACACAGGCATTTATTCATTAATCAAGGGATTGGTAAGAAGCAAAAGTAAACAAAACCGACTTCAAAGTGATCTGATCAACATTTTAAAGATTTTTTTGTTTTATTTTGTTTGTCTCTGTGTGTCACTGGCTATCCTGAAACTTGCTCTATGTCCCAGGCTGGCCTCAAACTCAAGAGATTTGCCTGCTTCTGCCTTCTGAGTGCTGAGATTAAAGGCAAGCAACACCATGCCCAGCAAGGTGGTACAGATTTTAAAATTATCCTTAAGAAATACAAAAGCATCCTAAGAATAAACTCCCATGTTATAGTAAACAAAGTACTCAAGATGTGCTGCCTCCCTCACTGGAGCTCCCTGACAAAGAGGGAACTGTTCTAGTTCTGGTCAACACTGTTGCCACAGCTTGTACAATAATGCCATGTTACAACATCTGTGCCAAAGTACCAAACAGAAACCTTTTAGTAGCCAAAGAATTACCTTAGAACTGCTTAGAAAATTTTGTTTTGAAGCGTAAGCTTAGTATCTTCAATAGTACTTTGAAATTTTAACTATTATTAACTTGTAATACACAGAGAACAAATTTTCCCTGCACATCTAATGAGAGTACTTTTTTACAACATGGGTTTTCTATAAATAGCTAACATTTTTGAAATTGTTTTATATATTTTGGTTGAAAATCCTTGAGTACCTACTGTAAGTTTCACGTAATACTAGATATCACAGAAGAAAAATAACTGACAAATTAGTGAAATTAATAAAATTGGAATTATTCACAAAGCGATTTTTACAAGTCACTAACTTGTTAAGTCATTTTTAGAGTTGATAAAATATTTGTAACTCATTTTAAAATTACCTCATTTATCACAAATAATTTATCTTTACGATCCATTTTAGTATCTATAAAAAAAAGAGAGAAAGCAAGTAAATAATAGATTTCAAGACTGCCTGACTTTGATTACATTTGCTATCTAGATAATTTTTTAAAAACTGATCAAAGCTAAAAACACTCAAGCTCTTCATAAACTAGTCAAGGGCAGATAGTACGGTGCATGCTTGCCACTGTTGGAGACTGGAACCCGGGCAGGCGAGGCACCAGCCAGGCAGGCGAGCATTCCACCACTGAGCTACAGCCAATCCCTCTTTACTTTTACTTTCAGGCTGGTCTCACTAATTTGCTCAGGCAGGCCTTGAACTTTCAACCTTCCAACTTCCAAGTAGTTGGAATTACAGGCCTGTGCCATCTGGCCTGGCTCAAAACTAAAACTCTTTTTTTTTTTTTTTAAAGATTGGCTCTCGTGTAGTTTAGTTTGGCCTCAAAGTGCCTATGAAGATTCAGGATGACCGTCAGTTCCTGATCCTCCTGCCATCATCTCCCATTGATATTACAGGTAAGCATCACTATCCTGAGCTCCTGAAATGAAAATGAGACCAACTATGCAGTCCTAGCTGCCCTAAAATTATGAAGACCAAGCTGGCCTTGAACTCAAGAGATCAGCCTCCCAAATGCTGGTGCTTAAAGGTATGTGCCACCACACCTGACCAAAACTTAAATTCTAACTTATGAAAATATTATTTTGAATCAAAAGACAATTTTAAAATTGGTTTTGGATAACCATAGAAATGAAATCATCAATGAAACATTTCAGTTAGTGTCAGGGATTGAGGACAGTACAGGCAAATTTGGCTTGAGAAAGACTAGCCACAGGCAGCAGTGACAGATGTCTCAAATCAAGAGCAAACATTTTTCACTAGCCTCTAAGACAGAACACTGTTAAGCCATGGGTGGTGGCACACACTTTTAGTCCCAATGCTGGGCTGAAGTAAGCATATCTTTATGAGTGACCCTGTCTCAAAAAAATAAATAAGAAAAAAGTTTTTAAATGTTCAGAAAGAAATACATGCTACTCCTTCCTTCCTTAATATCCCTTAATATGGAAGGTATTGTAATGTAAGTGTACTTTCTATATTAAGATGGGTATTTTTAAAAGTAAAGAACATGTGGACTTTTGTCAATAATTTATTATAAAATTTATAAATTTCTTTTAAAATATGTTACTTGAAAGAGTGAACTTTTGAAGTGTGTGTGTGTTTTCATCAGTCCAGAGGTCCCCCTGGGGTGTTTTTCTTCAGGTGCTGTTTGCCTTGTTTTTTTGAGACAGGGTCCCTACACTGGCAGAGAGGTTGCCGACTTGGCAAGACTAGCTTGCCATCAAGCCCCAGGTATTCATCTGCCTCCGCCTACTCAGAGATGGAGTTAAAATCCTGTGCCACCACACCCAGATCCTCTACTTCACTGACTAAGCTGTACCCACAACTTGTGTACTCTGGTTCTTTATCTGACAAAGCCAAGCAAACAAGTAAATATGGAAATATATAAGCTAGGCAGGTTTATACATAGAAACAGTTTACAGCACGCTATTGAAGTACCTGCTTTAGAATGAGGCATCAACATTCTCAAGTCCTGCATTAAGTGTCTGGTTCTGAAATTTATTCCTCTGGAAGAAAAGATGAGGACCCGCTCCTTATTTTTCCATTTGCCCTAAAAAAAAAAAAAAAAAAAGAAAACACTAGATCTTAACATTTGAGCTGAACTTACTTGGTGTGTTTCTGACAGTTCTTCAAGTTTGCAGTATCAGGCATCACTGGCATACCTCTGTAGCCCCAGCTAGTGAGGCTGAAGCAGGAGGAACACTTGAACCAGGAATTTAAGGCTATCCTGGGAACATAGCCAACTGTCTAAAACAGAGAAACATTAAAACAAAACAAACCACCTTTCAACTGCCCCCTCACTATCTTTTCAACTACCTCATTTCTTAGCACCCTTCCATTTTTAACTTTTTATTCTCTCCATTACAGACCCTATGTTCACTCCCAGTTTTAACTATGTACAAAAGGTAAGAAGTCTCTTTAGCTGTAACAATCCATGTGTCAGAGTAAAGCTTCCAACTCAACTGTGTAACACTTTCCTTTTTCTTCTCTCTGGTCCTTACTTCTTTCTGCTACTTAATTTCAGTTCCTCATGCTCTGAAGATCCCATTTGCCTCGAGTTTCTTACATAGACATCATAAGCAGTACTAACCACTATCTCTTTATAACAATTTGTAAAGCTTACAAGTGTTCTTAAATCCCTATAACTGATTATCAGCTGCAAAGCTCTTGACTCTCTGGCTTTCCCAGACAGAATCACTGCTGACAGCTAACTAGCACTAATTTAATCTTGGTTCCAAACTTCAAAATGGCATATACCCTCTACGGTTGGACTCTAAAATACATTTACACTGCTTACAACTCCACTGCCCAACATTGGCCCTGTACATTCTCAGCTAACCAGCTGCGTTTTTAGATTTTTCTCCAGCCTCCTGCCTCTCCCCCCCCCCACCATGGAATGCCTTTGGTGAATTCTTTTTTGATTCTCTCTCTCTCTCAATATCATAATTGAAACTTTTCTTTGAAATCCAGCTAAAAGACTTCCTGTTTCCTTATCACCCTATAAAAGTAGTAATTGTCTCATTAATCCCAATTAACGTATCATAGTGTGATTCAGATTACAGATCCCAACATATTTCTGTCCAGTTCCTAAAAGACGGAGAGTACTAACTTTTTATTGAAAACTGGTGAGTCTTACTTTCCTTTCAGATACGAGTACAGAATTTAACTGTAAATTAAAACTGGGGTACAATTTCCATTGGCCTTTCACATTTCCTTTTCACTCAGTACTAGAGTAGTACACTAAGCACATGGGACAGACACATCTGAGGCAAGATTTCCTCCATAAATATACCTTCCTTAGGGAGTTTTCATGTGATTGAAACTAATGCTAACAAGAACCTGCTTGCCTTTAGAATAAACACGCAGTTTTCTATGAAGCCTTCTTTCCTTCTAAACTCCTTTTTTTTGTTTGTTTGTTTTGTTTTTCGAGACAGGGTTTCTCTGTGTATCCCTGGCTGTCCTGGAACTCACTCTGTAGACCAGGCTGACCTCGAACTCAGAAACCCGCCTCCCGAGTGCTGGGATTAAAGGCGTGCACCACCACTGCCCGGCAACTCCAACATTTTCGGAGGAAATCTTGTTCATCATCTCCATGATGCCAAGGCCAGGAAAGCTCATCCTGGTCTAAGTGCGTCGAACTGTTAAACATAGTAAAACTAGTGGTCTAGGTTTATTACTACTAATAGTAATAGTATCCCTTGAATTAAAGATCCAACCAAAAAAGTTAGAGTCACAGGACGGTAACTTTAAAGGCTTGGCAAACAAACTTCGGTAATCTGGTGTAATACGGACCAAAATGGAAGGAATTTTATAGATACACCAAAAAGACTTTGAGGGGGGGAAAAAGGGAAAAAGCATTACCCTGGGAGGTAGGGGAAGGGCACAGTAACCGGAAGACAGAATACTAGATAAATACCCATTAAATCAACTCCCTGTTAGCTGACTAAGGGTCTACGAACTGCTGTCTCCAGGAATAAGGTCATCTGCACGAAATTTAGACATAAACATTGTTCAGTCCAGTCAAGGGAACCCTATGCTAATGATCCAGTCAAGTTTTGACTGGAGCCAGACTTCGGTAGCCCAAAGGTGGGTCAAGAAGCCGACTTCAATTCCGGGAGTCGGGCTTCTTACCTTGCAAACGGGACCTGGAATACGATCTCTGTTTTCTTCCTCTGCCTCTTTTGCCACATCGGCCTGCTTAGCTGGCTGCCCGGCATCTTTCCGGCTCCTTTTTGGCTTCTTCGCTTGAACTTCCAGACTCCCACGCCGCTTTCTCTTGGTCGCCGCCATCTTGCCTCGCCGCGTTTGCGGCCGTCCGCACTTCCGGTTCTGCCGCTCGCTCCTCCTTCCGACCTCTATGGTAGCTCACGCTAGGCTCTGAGTTATCCTCCAGCCCTGAGGCGCTTTCTTCCGAAAGGAAGACTCTCTAGGCAGCCGGCGGCTCGGTGGTGACGGTGGCCTAGGTGGCTGCGGGTCTGAACGGTGGCGGGAGCTGTTGGCCAGGCGTGCTAGCTTCTGGACTCTCGGGTGTTCTTCTTGGGGCTAGGCTGGAAAGGGCTTTGAGGGGTCGGACGTCACCTCAAAGGCAGGGGCCTGGCGCCCGGGGCTCCCCTGTCCGACAAGCCCCTGTGCGACGAGCGAGCTGGTGAGCTGGGTGGCGCAATCGCGCGTTTTGTGGCTGGCCAGGTTGGTGGCGCTCAGAAGTGCTAAACAGCCGCGCCAATTAGAACTACCCTGTGAACTGCATTTCCCTCCTGTATAAGACAAGGATACGCTAGTTTTGAGACATGGAGATAGAATGTTCCCGATTTCAGCTCGGGTTGAGGTCGCCAGTCCTGTCAGCACTGATAGCGAGGTTTGTTGTTCCGTGTCTCAGGTTTTCAGAGACCTTCCGGAAGAGGAGCATCCTCTCTGAGCCGACCGAACAGTGGACCATCCATGCCTCTCCTAACCCAATACAATGAGGATGAGTACGAACAGTACTGCTTAGTGGCCAGCCTTGACAACGTTAGGAATCTCTCCACTGTCTTGAAAGCTATTCATTTCAAAGACCACGCCACGTGTTTTGCTACTAAAAACGGAATCAAGGTTACAGTGGAGAATGCAAAGTGTGTGCAGGCAAATGCCTTTATTCAGGTATGAGGGAAAAGAGATATTTTTAAGCATTTTCTAATTAATTTGGAAGGGCTTAATTGACAAAGCTCTAGTTAGAGAACAAAATGTTTTATTTTTTTTCTTTCCTGCTAACAAATACTTTCCCCATCTTTTGTCTCACACAGATAATGATTACTAGATAGCCTATTAATGAGACACTCTTCTTATCGTTTACCTCTTTTAATTTTCACAAATATGAACACTTTATCTTTCCTGTTTGACATAGTGGCATCAGATTTAATTTTCAGTAGTCTTACAACTGATTGAGTTAGGGTAAGAACCCAGAATATTTACTCTTTACATTATAATTGCTGTAGTGCACGTTTTAGTTTTTCCTCTTATTGGCTGTAATAGCATTTTTTTTTCCACTGAGACAGAGTCTAACATATGACCCTGGCTACCTGGAACTTGCTTTGTAGACTAGATTGGCTTCAAGTTCTTGGAGATCCACCTGCTTCTGCCTTGAATTGAAGTACTGGGCTGAAAGCCCTGCACCGTCACCCACAGCTCTAATCTATTCTTACAAAGTAGTGTTTGTATGGGTCAGGTCAGATCTCAACATTCAATAACTGTTTTTGAACACTTGAGAATAATATGACCCCAAAATTATGGAGAAATAAATAAAACATGGTTTCTGTCTTCAAATGAAATTGGAAACTATTATCATGGATGCATTATTAAACTGTCCAATTCTGAAGTGACTTTAGCTTTAACGGATAGGCACAAGGACGGAGTTAGGGTAAGCTCATTTAGATCCCATAGTGAAGATGAAGAACCCTTCTGGGGTGGGGGGGTGTCTTTGGATGGTTTTGTTTGTTTGTTTTTAATTTTATGCATGTGAGGTGCTTTGCCTGCATGAATGTCTGCAAAAAGCATATGCCTGGTTCCTGCCAAGTCCAGCAGAGGGTGTTGGATCCCCTGAAAGTAGTTACAGAAGGTTTTGAGTCACCATGTGGGTGCTGGAAATCAAACCTGTGTCTTCTGGAAGGGTAGCAAATGTTAACTGATGAGCCATCTCCACTCCCCCCTCCTTTAATTTAAAAAAAAAAAAATCGAGCAACATGTTCTATCCCATACCCCCTCAGGAGCTCCTAAATGAGGCCTAACTTAGTGAAACACCTTTAATGATTAAACCATTGAGTACTATTCAAGTGGGTAAAGGTTCAAAAATTAGCATGACTTAGTTGGGAATGAGAAATCTTCTCATGGAGTTGGCAGAGTATTGTTACTTTTTAAGAATAAAGTGAAATGTAGACTCTTACATGTGAATTTTCATTCTTGAATATAACTCAGCTTTCGTGTTCTCATGTTTGCTTTTTCATAGGCTGATGTGTTTCAAGAATTTATCATTCAGCAAGAGTCTGTTACTTTTCGAATTCACTTAACTATCCTTCTAGACTGTTTATCTATTTTTGGATCAAGTCCTACACCAGGTAAACGATAAATTACTACTACTATTACTATTGTTATTGTGGCATAAAAGTATTTATTATGGTTAAAAAACAGAAAATACAGGAAGATTTCTAAAATATAAGCTTTTTTATTTTTTATCTTTTTTTTTTTTTAGACAGTCTTATGTATCCCAGAGTAGCCCTGAGCTCCCTGTATAGCCGAGGATGACCTTGAATTTATCTTCCTGCCCCTGCCACAAGTGATGGGATTATAGAAGTAGTTAACCACCTATAGTTTTATGTGGTAGTGAGGATTGAAACCAGCATCTAATACATGTTAGCCAAGCAGTCTACTACAGCTGAGCTACGGCCCCAAGCCACCCAATATTTTGTTAGAAAACTGATTGCTCCGGGTAGGACTACTGAGGCGCCACCTCTAATGGAGAAGCTTTTGGTAGCAGACGGCTGCTAGGGAAGGGAAAATTCGTTTCTTTGGAACAGGTTGAAGAGTCCCAGGGAGGAAAGTATTAGGCCCTAATAATTAGGGGGTGGATTTGTATACATGAATTAAATTTTCAAAGAATAAAGGGAAGCTAATTTCCAATTCATTTTCCTCCCAGTGGTTATAACCATAGAATATAAATTGTCAAACTGCCAGTTGAACATTTGTTTATAGTTCTTTACATATTTGTGAAGGTATTTTTTCATCTTAAGTCATTTTAATATGCAAGGTAAATCATTATCTTCCTTGTTGCTGTGAAAAAAAAAATGGCTGACAAAGCAATTTTCGGGCTTATTTTGGCTCACGCTTGGAGTGTGTAGTCCATATGCCAAGGAAGGGCCTGGAAGGGGAGCAAGAGCATGAGGCAGCGGGTCATATTATGTCCATAGGCAGGAAGCAGAGATAGCTTAGGTAGCTTTCTTTTTATTCAGTCTAAGACAGAAGCTCTTAAAATGCTGCTACCTACATTTAGGGTGGGGCTCCTACCACCTCATCCTGATCAGCAAACTCACTCCCTCCTCACAGGCATGCCTAGGGGCTTGTTTCCTAGGTGATGCTAGAGCCTGTCAAGTTGACTGTATTAGTCATCACACAAGGCTCCAAGATTCTAAGTTAAAAATCAAAAGACTTGAAAGTCATAAAATACCTTGTGAAATATGTTTTAATTACGTATTTATTCTAACTTAGAATTAACATCTACTTATAGGCAGAGAGAAGCCAGTTTTGCTGACTCCCAGTTGGCTATTGATTAGGAAGTTCAGTTGCCCTGTTTATAAGACTATAAGAATCCCAGAAGAATCCAAGAATTATTTTAGTTCATAGAGAAGTAATTCAAGGCAGAAGTAATTCACTGGCAGGTCCATAATTAAGTTTTGGTTTTTGTCTACAGGGTCTTGAGTGTAGCTCCCGTTGACCTTAAACTTGAGATATTCCTGTCTTAACTTCTGAGTGTTGGGATTACAGTAGTATACTCTGTCATACCATGTACCCTAGATGTCCTGGAACTTGCTGTGACCCTCTTGCCTGTGCCTTCATACTAGGATTGTAAGTGTGAGGTATGATCAGTAGCTGGGTCTGAGTATGCACTTTGAGCAGATGAGATAGCTTAGTGGGTAAAGTACTTACCCAGGAAGCCTGACAAAGCCTGAGTTTGATTCCCAGGTCCTATAGTAGAAAGAGAGGACCAAAAGCTTTTCTATGACATCCATGGGCACAAATGGCATGTATGCATTCACACTCAGAACCATCATACACATAATATAGTAAATACATGTCTTTAAGTATGCATTTGCTAATGCAGTGTTCCCCAGCTTGTTTTTTCCTGAGAACTTGATTTCCCATATCCTTTCCTGGCTCTCTAACCGGTAGGAAGGAGCCAAGCTATTTTATATTCCTCCTCTGTAGGGATTTAAGGTGTTAAATTATTTCACCAGTGGCTACTCTCTATTGCTATCAATTTGATTTAAAATAGTACTGTATCTCCATAGGAGACATTGTATATAAGAAGTGGGAAAATCCTTTCAGTGAGTTAGATTTTGTTCTGATTTCCAGTTTCCTTGGTGTTATTGGAATCAAGTGTCTTTAAGAAGAGACATACATGCTAGATAGAAGCTTGGCAGATAAATTACTTTTGAGGCAATATGTGTGTCATTTGGAGGGAAAGCTAACCCAGAGCCATAGAGCTAAGCCCCATATGACTTATTTCATTGTAGGGACTTTAACTGCACTTCGGATGTGTTACCAAGGTTATGGTCACCCACTGATGCTGTTTCTAGAAGAAGGAGGAGTGGTGACAGTCTGTAAAATTACCACTCAGGAGCCTGAGGAGACGCTGGATTTTGATTTCTGCAGTACCAATGTTATGAATAAAATTATCCTGCAGTCAGAGGGGCTCCGGGAAGCCTTCTCTGAGTTGGACATGACAGGTGATGTCCTACAGATCACCGTGTCTCCTGACAAGCCCTATTTCAGGTACGGCAGTGCCATTACCCTTAATGTGCTCTGGCGTGATCCAAGTCTTCATGCAACATTTGCTTGAGTTACAGGATTGTTTTTTTAACCTATCCTAGAGTTTTCAGAAGCATTTGATTATTCTATAATTTTACAACTCCAAGATAGGAAACTTAAGACATATGAAGAGTAACCCACAAAGCATTTTATAATCTTGATAGATTCTTGTAAACACAAACCAGTAGTATTTTAATTGCTGTCTGTGATGTAGATGACGTTACATTGTGAGGAAAATTGGATTTCAACATTAAACATCATGTTTGTATATTTTTTACTTAGTAGCTATTGATAATCTAAGGTTTGTATCCATCTTAAGACTGGTGAGGAAAAAATGTAAATCAGCAGAGAAAGAACAAAATTGCAAGCCATTAAGAATGAGGATAATACTCATACTTGGGAAACAGTTCTTGAGAACTTGAAGTATTGGACAAGGTAGACTTCATTGGATCAGGCATTTTTCAGCAAAAATACAGTGTCAAAACTGTTCTGATATGATATTTTGTCCCAGAAAAATTTCTGAGGGTTTTTTTTTTCAGAACTAGAATAATTTTATAGAACTTAAAATTTTTGAAGATGTTCAGAGAATGTAAGTTGTGGATTTTTGTTTTGTTTTGTTTTTGACTTAGGAACAATCATAGGAAACTTTTGCTTGTGAGTAGTCAGATAAGACTTAAACTCAAAATGAAAAGCATTGACACCCCCAATTAATCCTTTAAAACAAGTATCAGGATCTTCTTCCAAATCAGCTCCCTGAAGAAGTACCTAGAAGGGTCCTGTATTCCATTTCCAGAATGGGAAACAATGTGATGTGTGGAAGTGGTTGTGAATTGGTTTTCTGGATATGTTAGGATTTAAAGTACGTATGGCACTGCTGAGGTGGTTAGATATGTGGACGCGGTGCTGAGGAAATCAGCCTAGACTAGAAGTGGAGATCTGAGGACAGTCATCCCTGCATGAGAGCAGAGCATAAGGAACTCAGAAGTTATACTAGAGAAAAGAGTATGGACTGACTGGGAACATAGACCCAGAGCTTCGGGAAGGTCTTCCAGGACTGATCACTGTGTTTGTCAGCATGCTTCTCCCATAGCAAATGCTTAGAGACTAAACTCAGAATTGTATGCATTTGCTGACAGTACAAAGTTGGAAAGACCATTAAACTTCTAAGATCAGTCTAGCACAGAGAAATGCTGTAATAGTAAAACATAATTTAAAGGCACACATTGCATGCGAATGGTTCAGCTATATAAGCTAGGAATGGGACCCTTACAATTGATTTCAATCAAGGTCTTCCATTATGCACAGTTCTCTGAAATGTAATTATAGATTTAAAGATAAGGAAAGTTACCTGTCATTATACAACTATACAGAGTAAATACTGTGTACTCTGCTGTGACAATTTCTTCAAAGCTGTTCCTAGGCTGGAGAAATGTGTCAGGCAGTTAAGAGCATGCTCCTTTAGAGGACCCAAGGTTGATTCTCAGCACCATGTCAGCTCACAACTGCCTAGAACTCCAACTCCAAAGTCGTGTTCTAGAGCACCTGGATGCTAATACATAGACAGACAGACAGACGGATAAACAGATACACACACAGGAATAGGAATAAAGGTAAAAAGTAAAAATGTTAAGCTTACTAGATACTCTTTGCTCCTACAGCATCCTATGGAAAACTTCATTATAATGCTTGATAAGGTGTCTGTTAACTGTGTGGTGCTACCAGCTTGAACCTGTTACATGGAGACAATATTGTGTGTGGTCTATGTGTATGTAGTGCATTTACATGAATGTATGGGTACATGTGGCCTTATGTGCACATATGAGGCCAGAGAGGATATGAGGAGTTTCCTCTATTGCCTTCTACTTTATTGCCTTGAATCACGAGCTCCCCATTTTGACTAAGCAGCGAGCTACTGGGTTATGAGGACCTGCTAGTCTCCATCCTTGAGTGGTAGGGTTCCAGGCATGCATGGTCATACCTGGCCTTTTATGTGAGATGTAGGGTTTGAACTCAGGTCCTGAGGTTTGCAGTGCAAATGCGTTTACCTGCTGAACTATAACCCCTATAACTAGGACTTTAATATATCATTTCTTTTTTTGTTGTTGTTTTGTTTTGGTTTTGTTTTGTTTTGGCTTTTTTGGGTTTTTTTGTTTTGTTTTGGTTTGGTTTGGTTTGGTTTTTTCGAGACAAGGTTTCTCTGTGTAGCCCTGGCTGTCCTGGAACTCACTCTGTAGACCAGGATGGCCTCGAACTCAGAAATCCGACAGCCTCTGCCTCCCAAGTGCTGGGATTAAAGGCGTGCGCCACCATTACCCGGCTCTAATATATCATTGCTTAAGGTAGCGTGGATTCTAATACTGCTTATTATTGAACCTATGGATAATGAGTTACTTACTGTCAACTCTAGGTTGTCTACTTTTGGAAACGCAGGAAACTCCCATCTTGACTATCCCAAAGACTCTGACTTGGTGGAAGCGTTTCAGTGCAACAAGACTCAGGTCAACAGGTCAGTTCCTAATGTGAAGGCTACATTGTTGATAAAGATGAAGTTAAGTACCAGATTTCTATATAAAAATGAAACAGGTAATTTTTACTCTGTTAAAAAATGCATCACATTTTTTAAAAAGTAGATGATTGAGTGCTAGATTTACTTGGGGCTATTGGGTTGTAATTGCAGGTGGATAAAGCAAGAAGTCTAGCGCCTTTGTTAAGTGTTTGCTACTCAGTAGTTCCTGGCTAACTTTTGTCCTTTATTTGGTGTTAATGCATTTAATTGATCCAAATAACAGCTTTTCATTTACTCTCCTACAGATACAAACTCTCTTTACTGAAGCCCTCTACAAAGGCATTAGCTTTGTCATGTAAAGTGTCTATTAGGACAGATAATCGAGGATTCCTCTCATTACAGTACATGATTAGAAATGAAGATGGACAAGTATGTTTTGTGGAATATTACTGCTGCCCTGATGAAGAAGTCCCCGAGTCCTGAATAGTTCACTGTGAATGTTTGTGTCTGTATAGTTGGTGTTCTCACTCTGACTGTGTAATCTTGATGATCTCACATTAGATTGTATATGGAGAGGCATGGAGAAGATAGGAGCAAGGTCCCATTCTGTAAATAGTTTCTATTTTGTCAATAAATTTTTCATATAGCCATAAATTATCTGGCTTATTGTACTGTCCTGTGACTATTGTTCTTTTTGTCTTTTTTAAACCTGAGTTCATTTTATACGTATGTGTGGTTTTGCCTACCTTGGATGTATATGCACCACATCTATACCTGGTGCCTGCAGAGTTCAGAGGGCATTTGATGCCCTAGAACTATACTTACAGATAGTTAAAAGCCACCATGTGGGTTCAGGGAACCAACCCTAGTCCTCTGCAGTGACGACTGAGCCACATCTCCAGCCTTCTCCTCTCCCCATGACTGTCTTCCCAACTTCCAGGAATCAGCGAATCAAGACGAATAAATTGTGGTTTTGCCACTTAAGCAGACTTTTTCCCTCTTTTTTTCAAGACAGGGTTTCTCTGAGTAATAGCCCTGGCTGTCTTGGACGAGATTTGTAGACCAGGCAAGCATCAGACTCAGAGATCCCCTGCTTCTGGTGCGCTGGAATTAAAGACATGCACCACCATGCCCAGCCTAACATAGACTATCTTGTGAATCTATACAAAGTTGGATGGAGCCATAGCTGACATGTTCTTTTCTTTATATATTAGTATAAATTCCAGATACTAGATCTTAAAGCTGAGTGGCTCACCATTACACCAATGTCAGAATCGTTTAGAGATTTGGTGGTGGCGACAGCAATGTTTATTTTATCAAGTTTCCTCCAGAAAATTCTGATGTTTGCCAAAGTGTGAAACAAACAGTTGAATGCCCGTTTAAGAGAATATTCTTGATTTTGTAACATTCACCTGCAGTGCTTTGTTTTCCTCCCTTTGGTTTTCTAAGAAAGGATTTCTTTGTGGAGCCCTGGCTGTCCTGGAACTCAGTAGACCAGGCTGGCCTCGAACTCAAGAGATCTGCCTGTCTCTGCCTCCCAAGTCCTAGGATTAAAGGTATGCACTACCCCCTGGCTCACCTGCATTGCTTTTGTAGATAACTTCACAAGTGTTTTAAATTGAGGCATTACTACGAAATTTGAGCAGTGCTTTATATGCTTCATTTTTATTATTATTGATTCAGTTTTGAGGGTTTCTTGTGTTTGTTTTGAGACAGAGACTCTCTACATAGCCTTAGCTATTCTAGAATTTACTATGTAGACAAGGCTGGTCTCGATCTCACAGAGATCTACTGTCTCTGATTCCTAAGTACTGGGATTAGAGGTGTACTGCCCTGGCCTCGGTTCCAGGAGCCATCTTAGATCTAATGCTATGTACCATCAGGACTCTTGGAGGACTCACAGGAGCCTGTGGTACCTCATTCTCTATCCCACTTTTTCCCTCACAAGGTTGATTTCCACATCCCCTTCATAAAAGGAGCCATGTTTGTATTTTCCTGGGTAATTTTTACTAAAATCATTTTTATAGCAGTAGATTTTTTTTGTCATTAACAAAGCATAATTAAGTTCTTCTTTCTGAGCTATGTGATAACAAGTAAACAGGCGCTGATAGTTTGGGGCATGATATTTTGTCTTGAGAAAATAATGTCATCCTATTGCAAGATTCATTTCTCATTCCTAAAATTGTCCCTTCCAGTCATTATGACTCCTGTCCCCAAATAAAAGTGCCCAAGACTACTGATGGTTGAAACAACTTGGTGATATCCACCAAAACCTGTGGGTGCTTTTAGAGTGCCCCACCCTAAAGTAGCACACAGAGCAGGAGAGAAAGCTAGCTTGGAGAGAAGTGAAGATGACTAAGGGCCAGCTTAGTTAATGACTTGAGTATCCCAGACAATCTCAGCGCCCAGTGGCTACTAAGGAGGTGGATGTTTATGAACTGCAGTGAGTGTTTTCAGGAGAAAATGAGTAAGTTTATTATGTGTGAAATAGTTTCTGTTTCTATAAATACTAAGTTTAGAACATAATTATGGAAGGTTGTCAATTGAGGGACTGCAGTTTTCCTTCATATTTAAGGAAGGCAATATTATAACACTTAGAATTTATCTAACTGCTTTTTACTCAGTCCCCTGCCCTAACACACACGATACATAAGAATGGGGGATTTGTTCATTCTTGTTTTGTTTTCTTAGAACAGTAGTACCTAGGCCTTCATTAATATGTGCTAAATGGGAGAGCCTCTGCCTTGAGGTTGTGCTTTAAAACTTACTATGCATTTTAAAAAATTGAGTCTATTGATAGATTTAATTAAGAATAGGCATTTGTAGATTTAAAACTATCTCTTTAGGTGCATATGGTTGGGGACTGTGGTTTTCTAGATTTATGTTTAATTATATGTGCAGGTATGTACACTTGAGTGTAGCTGTCCACAGAGGACTCTGAGCTGGTGTTGCAGTCGTGAGGCACATACATGGGTGCTGGGCACGAAACTCAGGTCCTTTGCAAGGGTGTTACATGTTCATAACTACTGAGCTGCTGCTTCTGCCCCAAATCATTATAACATCAAGGTGCTGATTTATTAAAGAATTTTTATGGGCTGGAGAGATGGCTCATAAGTTAAGAGCACTAACTGCTCTTTCAGAGGTCCTGAGTTCAATTCGCAGCAACTACATGGTGGCTCACAACCATCTATAGTAGGATTCGATGTCCTCTCTGGTGTATCTGAAGATAGCAACAATATACTCATATACATAAAACAAATAAATCTTTTTTTAAAAAAAGAATTTTTTGTATGTTCCCCTTGATTTAGAGATTGCTTTTTTTAATGAGCTTACCTTTGCTTTACCTCCAGTGAGAGACCACCCAAAGGAGTGCTTCCTCTGGCGGAGCTGGGGACACTTGGAGGCCACTAAATTTATATCACATACAGCGGATGGAAGAATACAAGCTGGGTTTTATAAGTTTTAATTTTGTGTTTTTGAACTTTATATCATTTCCTTTTTTGGAAAATTTTGCTTGGCACAAATAAGTAAGCAGTCTTTTTTTTTCCCTTTTTACCATTTTTATTCCCCATTTTGTTTCTACCTAGAATTTATTTAACTACTCAAAATAATATATTAAATAATTTCTTAAATTATACTTTTATAAATCACAGAATTTCTGATGTAAACTATTCCTGTAAAGCATGGTTGCAGTCGCCTGAAGGGGTAGGCTCTGATACTCTCAACAGTTTGGAGTGGACCCTTCCAGGAACAGATGGAGAGCCAGCAGGTGGCTCCATGGATAGACGTGGTACCTGTATAAGCCTGATGATTTACGTTCAGTCCTTAGGACTTATAGAAAAAACTGGATGCAGTGGTGTGTATCCATTATCCCAGCACTCTAGGGCAAGATGGGAGGTGAACAGAATCAGCCCAAAGTTTGTGGTCCAGCTAGTCTGGAGTACGCAGCACAGCAAAAGAAAGACCTGCCTCAAAAATGGACAGAGAGATAGCCCAAGCTCTTGAAAAGTCTGCGAACCTTCACCCATGTACTAACACTCAGTTTACTACAGTTTTTAAAATAGATAGACTGCCCCCCTTCCTACCTTCACATTTCCTGTTCCTTGTCACCTGAAATAAAAATCTGGGTTGAGCAAGTGCTGAGCCGCTGGGCTTGATCCTCATGTTCCAGTGATACTTTTAAACATGTCAGGTTATATGGTCTTCAGCATGTTCCTTGAGACTGCAACAGACTTCTCTCTCGGGGGACTAGACAGTGCTGTAGTTAGAAATGCTAGGAGTACTTGAACGTGCAAATCTGTTATGCATAGGAGTTTTGATAACCTTTGCAATATGTTTTCCTTGTGAAATAAATAGCTTATTGATTAGTATAAGATAGCTATTGATGTCCTTGGTAAAGCTGAAGAAATTCAGGGTTGTAAACAGACTAAATTAACTCTGAAGTAACTTATTCTTTCATGAAAAAGAAGAGTCTTGTTAGGGCTGTGGCCTGTCCCTCCAGGGATAGTAATGAAGTTTGGTTCCTGAATAGTCTTCCTATTGTTACTGTCCGAAAGTTTTGGTTGTACTTATTATCTGAGAGGTTTGGTTGCTGTTCCTAAGTTGGAACAGTACTGTCTGGTCTCTGATCAGATGGAACTTTGATATGAGGGGTTGCTTGATGGCTCACGTCATCAGTACAACTGGCCTATCTTCAGGTTATAAAACCTTTGCTAAAGCTTCTTAAACATCTCCCTAGGACACAATCTGATTTGGGCTTGGATTTCTTCTGAATTGATATGGAGATCATAAGAAAATAACCTAACCTCTTACACCCTGAAATGCCAGTGCCTATTAGCTAATTCAAAAGAGTAGTGTAGTTCAGGCCCATTAACTACTGTATGCATTTGTCTACAGCCATCCCATCCCAAACATACACACAGTTTAGTCTGGTCTCGGAAGGTAGGCAGAGTTAGCCCTGGTTAGCACTTGGATGGGAAAAACATCAAGAGTTTGATTGTCTGATCCCACTTCTTGGCTCCCAATGATAGAATTTAGAAAGCAGCTTGATACTTACCTATTTTTCCAAAGAGAATGCAATTTCAAATTTAGGTTACGTTACACTCAACATTTCTACTGTTACTTTGAGTTCACAAAGCAATCAAATTTTAAGTTGGTGAAACTACTCTTACCTGTAAATATACAGTTATGACAGTGGTTTGTGTCTGTATATTTCTCAAATCCATAAACCACTGTGTGAAAGTGGTGGTAACTCTTTCTATGCTACTTGAGTTAATCAGAACTTCCGGATGTGAGCAGAAGTCCCATCTCCAGGCAGGACTAAAATTAACAATGACAGGCCATGTAACCAGTAAACAATCAATGCCAAAAAAGCAGAGTCAGGGCTGCACCTGGGGACTTTGATTCTGACTGCCAGACTAAAGCATTCTGGGAAAAAGATGGCAGCAGCCCAGAGAAAACCTACCAGTCTTCGGGCTAGCCTTGAGGTTAAATGGTGCATGGGCTCTGGCCACAGCCAAACACTGCTCATGACTTCCTATCAGTTGGGGATTGTATGATTATTGGACTGAACGTTACTTGTTGAATAAAGAATGAAATGTTCTGTAAGTACTAAGTGAAAGGTATTTGGTAGTGAGACACTGAGTTTCCCAAAGACA